CTTTCTCTCATACATTTTAATATTTCTGGTAGTATAAACACTTTGGAATATCTCTGATAATCCTGAAACTGCTATTTAAGAAAAAAACATTACATTCACCTAATCGATGCTGGTGTGCGGTCTTGGTGAAGGGGCGGATTAAGATAATCCCCTAAAAGAACAAGAAAAAAAGACTTACACTAAAGGTTTTTTTAAAAGAAAGAAAGAAATATTTTGGCGCACGTCCACATAAGTGCTAGATTTTGTACAAGTGCGACGAATATTTGAAGCATTGAAAGTTATGAGCAAAGAGGAAACATTGCTGGAAAGTTCAACATTGACTTGGAGTGTTTGAGATCGTCAAGGAGGCACACAATCCTCGTCTCGCCACAGTAATGTTGAACCCTACCAGGACCGCTTACTGAGTGGCTGACACCTGCTGACGCAAAGTATCACTTTTGGGATGAGAATCCTCCAGGTCCAAATCACAGAAACCCCATTCAATCGTAAGAATTAGGGTCCCTGACGGTTACAAAGTAACAGGAAGACCAAACAATGTATGGCGACTACTCGACAGTCCCGTTTGTTTGACGTTTAATCCCACTAGGACATCACACTGAGCGATAAACACCCGGTGACGCAAAGTGCCACCATTAGGATGAGGATCACCCGGGGACAGGTCTTACAACTTATTGCAGAGATTGTTATAGGAAACAGCGAATTCTTCATCTAACTAATAATGACCTTTATCAAGCAATTGTTTCGTATCTTAACCCACACTGAAACACCCGAACGGAACTTTTTTAAATGTAGGTTGGCAACTACTGATATGGTTAATGCTAATCTTTTCAAACATGCAAAATAAATGGGGGGGGGGGGGGGGGGATTCTAAATGGGGTACAATGACACGTTTTAAAACTTAGAAGTTCAGCTATAACAAATACACCTTTTTGAACAGTTTTAGAAATGCTCACCTCACAGAAGCAATAGGGGAAAAACGCATACATGTATCACGATAAAGACAGAAAAGCATCACTAAAACCAAGCTGACATATTTCAGGAGTTACTGGTCATGTGTAATATGAAAGGTGATTAAAATGCAAAGTCAAGGTAAAAAAGTTGGAGAAGAACAGTCTGACAAAAACATCCGGCAACAGTATAACAATAGTAATTTCGAAGGGAAACCCGGGAATCTTAGGGAAGGTTAGGGATTTGTTCTTTCGGGTGCAAAATAAAATCCTCACCTGTACAGGCATGGCGACAGCACTAGCCACGCGGTCGTTAATTTTCAGGCTCAAAGACCCTGTTCATACACCGCAAAAGTGGTTTTTAAATGAAGCCAGTAATTGGCAGTTTTTGGCGGATGTCGAATATTAGGTGTGACTGTGGTCATTTTGATATCGAAATATAGAACCAAATAAAAATTACTAGAGAGGCCAAATGAGGGAAAGTAGACAACGCAATATACCATTACCAAAGAAATTAAGAGAGCCAAAGATAATACACAGTAACTAACCAAAACATAGTGAACGGTTGTTAGATTTGCATTCGCAAGAAAGTAAAATATTCAATGTAAAAGAAATACTAAACTTTCAATTTTTAATTATAATGTCAAATCAGTACTTTTGTGTGGATCGGAAACATGGAGAACAACTAGAGCAATTAATAATAAACAACAAACATTTATCAATTGTTGCCTGTGCAGAATAAAGGGAATTAAATGGTATGATAGAATAACTAATTTAGAACTTTGGGAGAGAACTAAGCAAGTTCCAGTGGACCAAAAGGTGAAGAAAAGACGCTGAGTTTGAAAAGGACACACATTGACAAAACCGGAAAACAATATAACTAGAATGTGTTTGCACTTTAACCCACAGGGGCGTAGGAATAAAGGAAGGCCCAAAAACACACAGAGAAGGGAGCTGGAGAATAATGTTAGAAAAATAGGGACATGGGGAGAGCTGCGTGCGATAGCAAAAGATAGAGCGACTTGGCTTTTCGTAGTGTCGTGATCAAAGCAGTCTTCTGTAAAGAACCTGCTACAGGATGATGATTATTACGATGATGATGACGACAGAATGTTTGCTCGGTTAGCAAGCAGGCCCTCATGTCAGATCCATATGCATGCCTGTAA